CTGTAGCCTCCCAAAACAAATATGCTACATAAATTATTTTAAACACATTGCAACCTTCTCTAAACTTCAGTGATTGTACTCAATAAAAATTTCAATTTCAGAGGAAAACGCCCTTCAATTAGGAAAGATACTGACAGTGCTGAATGGGTTCATCTTTGCAGTTAATCATGGGAACTGGAGCCAAGCCTGCCACCACGATTCATCTAAAAGCCCAGGAACATTCAACTTTGTTTTGCTTTCTGAAAAAGGCATGTGTTAAGTATTCCAAACTATGTGAGCTTTTCACCTTTGCCTTTCCTGTTTAAGATGGTTTTCCAAAACCAGAAAGTCTCTACCAAATAGAACATGGAGGTGAGACACAAGATGGTTGGATATTTTTGTTTTCCATTTTCAACCTTCATCCATACCTAACTTTCCAGCATAGCTAATATAAAAACACAGAACCCTGGGAGAGCCCACAGTTAATCCTTGCTCTACATCTCATCTGTTTAAATGTTACAATCTCAAGAGATCATCTGGATCACTTATCAAATAGGATTATCTCCACATAGCCAGGGAGCTGCTGTTCTCATCATGCAGAATGATTTATGAGTAAGTCTACTAGAAGACATCAAATTCAAATTAGAAATGAGCTTTCAGTGCTGGGGGGTAAAGCTCATTTTGTAGAGTGCTTTCCTCAAATGCACAAAGCCCTGGGCTCAGTCCTCAGCACCACATAAAACAGGCCTGGTGGCATGCACCTAAAATCCCAGCACTCTGGAGATAGCACCAGGGGGATTGAAAGTTCAAGGCCATCCTCTGCTATGTAGAGACTTTGAGGGCAATCTGGAATACATGAACCCCACTTGAAAGAAAGAAAAGAAGAGACAGGAGAGAAGAGTGGAGAGGAAGAGAGAGAGGAAAGGACCTGGCATTCATTGAGTCTATACCTGGTGCCAGGCACTGTGTAAACTGCTTTTCTTGCTGTCTGTCACTAACGCTGAGGGGAACATATACTCCAATGGACCTATATACCACTACCAAAGGCAAGATTGGCTTATCCACAGTAAGTAGCCAACCCAGGTAAGACTAAGTGCAAAGCTGGGCTGAAGTTCTGAAGCATTGTGCTACTGTTTACACTATATATATATATATATATATATATATATATATATATACACACACACACACACACACACACACACACACACACACACACAGTTTTTTGGCATCTCCATCATGTCTAATCTACAGTGGGCCCTCTTTTCCCTTTATCCCAAATTTCTATTCAGCCACTGTGTCCCAGTTTGCCAAGAGCTTCCACATACCTTCCCTCATCTCCTCATCTACTACTTGTAATCAGTTTCGGGTGATGAGCAGCCGGGTTACCCTTAATGCTCACATGCTTAGCTAAGTAAAAGTAATTCATCTCTGAGTGGGAGACTGAGGCAATCTCCTAGTAACAAAGCAAGGGAGTCTCAGTGCAAAGACGATCCCGTCCTTTGTAACAATTCAGCCATTCCACAGGGCAACCATTTAGTTAGGGAAAAATAGTGAGCACCTGTTAGGAACCTTGCTCCATCCCAAGGACTAGGATTGTAGGGTGAAGAATCTTTGGTCTCTACCTGTAAGGACTTTCAAGACAATCCAAAAGATATATGAAAACCACCACAGTAAGTCCTGACAATTGTCCTCTAACTTCCTTACATATGCAATGGCATTTGTGCATGTAAACACACTAATAATCACAATAATAACAAAGAAAGATTATAAAAGAATCTGTGTAAGGGATTATGAGGGAATATTTATAAATTACCTAACCCAGAAGTTCCCTCTTCTTCTGTCTCTGCCTCTGCCTCTCCCTCTCTGTAGGCTAGACTTGCCTAAAACTCACTATGTAGTCCAGACTTCCCTTCAACTCAACAATCCTTGAGCTGCAGTCTCCCAAGGCCTGGAGCCATAGACTTGTGTCACTACACTCATTTTAGTCTATTGTTCTTTGTGGTCTCAGCCAGATGGCAAATGCTTGAAATGGCTAGATAGCTAAAACGTGAATAAACTAGAGAAGCGCTTCTCACCCCTAGATGCACGACAGAATTCCTTGTATAGTTTTCAAAACACATCTTCAAAATGCTTGGTCCCTTCAGTAACCTTTCAGGAGGTACTTTCTCAAGCAGAATAGATGCATACCCTACGACCAGGTAGCTCTGTAACTATGGAAACATTGTTCATTGCAACAACAATAACAACAACCTATAGCTATGGAAATATAACTATGGAAACATTGTTCATTGCAACAACAACAACAACTGCAACATATACACACTATGGAAACATTGTTCATTGCAACAACAACCACACACACACACACACACACACACACACACACACACAAGCGGAAACACTCTAAGTGTATGGTCAGTGAGTGAATAGGAAAAATAAATCTTGGCACATCCATACAATGGAATACTACTCAGCAGTAAAAATAATTAAATAATAGTACCTACAACATTCAAATATACTACTTAGTGGAAGAAATTTTATAAAAAACAATTACACACTTTACTATCCAACTTATATAGACAGGAAAAACTACAACAGCCTATTCTTGTAGAGTAGGTGAGCAATCAAGACTGGGAAGGCACACTAGAGTACTTAAATCTGTTGATAATATTCTGCTAATTAGTCAAAGTTAAGACTATATGGGTGTATCAGTTTGTGGGGATTGATCAGCACAAACATTTAGATTATTTCCAATTTCTTAAAATTCATGTTACTAAACGGACTAAAACATTTTCAATACCAATGCAAAGGCCTCATTGCAGAATAATCAAGTCAGAATCTATCTAATACTTGTGCTTTTAAAAGTACCTCAGACGCTTCTAATGAATAGTCATGTCTGAAAACCAGGGATTTCCATGTTTCTGTGTGTCATCAGTGGCTCCCTGATGGCCACAGCATGGCTTGTGACACAGGAAGTGAGGTCTAGCTGACAATTCTGTGTCTGCTTTGCACTGCCAGGAGGAGGCATGAGTCTAGATCTTCTCCAAGCCTCAGTGTCCAGCACTGTGTAATGGATGCAGTGTCATCTGCCTCTCGGGGTTATTGTGGGGATTAAGTTAGATAATATACTTAGAGCCGCCAGCTAAGGGCTAAAACATAACATGTGGGGGACAAGTGGTAAGCAGCGACTTTCCTCCTTTGCACCTGAGCTCCTAACAACAGTAATGAACAAACACATTGCTGTAAGTGAACCAAACACATGCCCTCTCAGTTTGCCTCCTGAAGCAGCTTCTAGAGACTGAAATAATCCTCTGTGGATAGTGTCAAATAAGGATTGGAAATTTCTAGGCCCCGGTTGCTCACTCTACCCATCCCTTGCTATCCCTGAGTATGACTGGGAAAGTGGGAGATCAGAGAGGTAAATACAAACTCCAAACCCTGTCCTCACCCCTAACTACAGAACAGACTCTATGCAAGCAAAAGGAGCCAAAGTGAGAGCTAGCCAAAATACAACAACTGGTTAAGAAGACATGAACCACTCATACAATGTTCCAAAAAATCACATTGGTACAAAGTGTCACCTTTAGCGAAAATAAACAGCAAAATGTGGGCTAGAAGCAGGAGCAGAGTTAGCCTTTTGCCTCTACTCCTTGAAGCAGTATGGCTTTGCTTAACCAAACTTTTCTGTTTCTTTGATAATTGGAAGAAATGCCTGTTCTCAAATGCCCTTTGTAAGGACACGGCAAGTTGGTGTTTGAATAAGTGGAAAGCATTCCAAAAAAGAAAAAAAAAATGAAAGAAAGTTAAGCACCAAAGAAATGCAAGGTGAGATTATTAGCTGGCCATTTACTGTATTCAAAACTTCAGTCATCCTTCAGCAAGTCACATGGAAACAGCCCCTCTCTTGTTTTTAACAGCTCCAAGCATCCCCTGTGCCACATGGGCCTGGAGTTTGCTTATGTAAGAAGGGACTGCAGCATTGCCTGGCATGTAGCATAATATTTTGCTTAAGAGAAATCTGCTGAAGTCCAAGGGCAGGCCCAGGCCTTACATTTTTGGACAGAGGTGCTCTCAGTGGTGGAACACTGAACCGTGGCTGGAGCAAATGATGTCATCAGAGATCCTCTTACCATGGTCAATGTCAAATTTAAGATAGGAAGTTCAAGGACAAACTGGATTTTTCCAGGCAAATGTAAGTAATAAAAGCAGTCTAGACCTCAGAATCTTGCCTTTAAAATCAATCCCTTAAAAAACTTAAACATCAACTGAAATCTATCCTATTCTGTTTTGAATTATGGGAAGCTTTTACTGAAAAATGTAGTTTCCTAGCAAAATAAATTATTTGAGTATATTTTTACTCCCACTACATATTAAGAGGGAAAATCATGTGAGTACACCTACATTCAAAAACAATAACAAAACCAAACTGAAAATGTAAAGTATTGAGAAGAAAGACATTTGAGACAGATAAACTTGAGGGTTCCCTACTCTAGAGCTAAGGAATGAAATAGCTGGAGTACCTGTTGGGTCCTTCAATGACTGGAAAATGAAAACTCGAAATGAACCACAGCTGCTTTAGAAGTAAGAGTCCATCCAAAAAGCACTCCTGTAACAGACCTGTGTCAAACATTCCCCAATGCAAGAATTTCTCCAGCTTGAAAGAGCATCAAATTAATGTCAAAAACATTACCGTTGACTGTTTGCTCTGGTTCCAGGGAGGAGAGAAGACAAAATCCAGTCTGCTGCTACAATCCTTGCTGGCCGAAGCTGGACAACACGCCCCTAAGTTTGGCGCGTCCTCACCCTGTGCCCTGCCCCCCCCCCTCCCCGCTCTGGGTACCCAGGGACTCTGTGCACCAAGGAGAGGCCCTAGCAGAGAACAGACCAGCGGCTGGGGCTGCAGACCTAGGCGGTCAATCCCGGAGGAAGGGCGGCTCCTCCCCTGGCTCCACAAGACCCCCAGCACCAGGCCCTCAACATTCCCCTCCCCGTGACCCCTTGCTCCCCAGGCCGGTCACCTGGCTTGGCTGGCTTATCCTCCTGCTGCTGGATCCCTTCAGCCTCCTCCTTAGAAGTGACTCGCCCTTCCGAGTCACGGGGCTGCCGAGCGCCGCCAGCCCGTGCCAAGGCTGCGGGAAGCGCTGTCCCCAGATGGAGCTGGGACCCTGGCCCGAGTGGCTGCCACCAGGGCGAAACTGGAGAGCCTGCTGGTATGGCCGGCGGGGAGGGGCGGCTGCAACTTTGCTCCTGGACTCGTGAGGAGGGGGCGCCCGTCTCCAAACTCCTTGCCGAGCTTCCACGCTTCCCAGGCAAGGGATTCTATGTATTCGAGTATTTATTTATTTATTTTAATGAAGAGGGAAGTCAGAATCTTGCCCTCAAGTTCCTGATTGCAAGCTGCGGGAGGCGTGCCCCTGCGGGGCGGCTACAGGAGGGGAGCTGGTGGCCAGTGGGAGTCTGACCACAGGGTACCTCCGGACCCAGTTCTGCTGCCTGGAGCCAGAACCCGGGAGGGAGAGAAGCCTGGAGAGAGCGGGCGAGCAGTGGGAAAGCAATGACCCGGACCTGGATCACAGACGTAGGAACTGGAAGTGACAGAGGCACAGACAGGGCAGAGCAGCAGCAGCAGCAGCAGCAGCAGCAGCTGTGGTGGCTGTGGCTGTGGCTGTGGTGGCAGCAGTCTCAGCACCCCAGTAGCCAGGAAAGGAGTAAAAGCCCCGGTGAAAGGGCTGCAGCCACCCAATTCCCAAGATCAAGGCTACCAGTGCCCGCGACCATTGCCAAAACCCCCCAGTTGGGAATGCTGGAGTTGGAGTCAAGGACTAGTCATTACTTATTAGTGGACTGCTTTCTTTGCCCATCCCAAGCATGCAACCTGGGACCTGCAGTTTGCATGGTGACCCACTGAGAGAGACATCCGTCCACCCTCTTCTCCCCAAGCAGAGTAGCTCTTCATGCTCATCTCTTCCCTGAACAGACCCCAGACTGGCCTGGAACTCATCCTCCTGCCTCGACCGAGATACGTGCTACAGTGTATATCTTGAAGCTCAATGTTTAGAGAAATGCAACATAGTGAAAGATTGGGTCAGCCAGGGTAATGGAACATTTACTCTTCTGGAATTATTAGGAGTGTCACATTGGCTCAACTAATAAAGAGAAAAGGATGCCAAAACCCTTGTTAGTCTTCCTACTAGTCAAACTGAGCGGAAGCTTTGCTCAGTGGAAACAGATGGAAAAGGGCCGTGAGACATTCTCCAACTCCTTAGCTGGGTGTGGTGGTGCAGGACTTTAATTCCAACACTCTCAGGAGGCAGAAACAGATGGATCTCTGAGTTCAAGGCCAGCTTGGACTTCATAGTGAGTTCAGGCCAGCCAACACTACATAGTGAGAGGCCTAGAGAGAGGAACTCTGACTTCACACAAGTACCTCTGCCAAGTCCATTGTGCCATTAGTTAGTGTTTGGCCTATTTTTACTTTCCTAGTAGGGAGGTGACAGATTTAACTTTAATTCATGAACACGGATTGTTAAAGGCGCCTTCCTTCTAGGGTGGCTTCCCTGCAGATCAGGTCCCGAGAAGTGGCAAACCATTCATCCCACAGGCCTCACTTTAGGGGGAGCACCCGGGCTGTTATGGTGACAAGGCAGATGGTGTGATTCAAGAAGTCAGGATGAATAAGAGGGTGGGGCATGGAAAATCCATGCTGCTGCAAGCTGATATTGGAAGTATGGAAGGAAGGGGAGAGGAGAGGAAAGAGAGAGAGAGAAAGAGAGAGATTGAGGGAGACTGTTTGAATCACATATTTATTCAATGACCCTTTCATGAACAAAACTTTTTTGTTTTTTGTTGGTTTTTTTTTTTTTTTACAAAGTAAGCTGGGTACAGAAGCAGAAGACACGTCTATTTCTGCAAAATGAAGATGGAAGGGTGTCCTACGCAGGGCACAGTGGTAGAAGACGATGGAAGAAAAGTATCTAATGGGAATAAAGGGGAAGTCCCTGGGCTAGAGCTTCCACAGACCAGTAGTCATATGGCTTTTGTCAAACAATCCAGCCAGAGGGCATGCTCAAATGATCAGACCCTGTGCATATTGTAGAGTCTCGTTAGTGACTTTACCTAAAAATAAGAACCATTTTCCTATGTTCTCTATAGTTGTGACTTGGCTGAATATCCTTCTTTTGAGAAAATAAAAAAGATGGATTTAGTTTATAAAAAAAGAAATACAAATGAACTATAAATGAGTGACAGTGTGTCCAAATTCATTTGGAATCATGAAATATAAACTATAGCAAAAAATACTATTTCATCCGTCACTTTCGCAAACTTTAAAGATAAATAATGCACAATGTTGACAGGGACACAAGGAAGAGGACACTTTCTATGTTTTTGGTGGAAATACAAGTTGCTAGAGCATTTTTTTGTAGAAGAATTTGACATTATGTATCAAAATCTGACAGAGTAATTCATTTCTGTGATGAAAGATTCTTCAAGAAAAAATCACAAATGCGCACAAAATTCTATATACACATAAAATGTAACTCACTGGGATTCATCACAGGAATGAAAGATTGATGCAACATATGAATATCAGTCAATGTAATGTATCACTATTATAGAGCCTAAATGAATGATCTTCTCAATAGAAGAATAAAATGCACAAAGGTAACTGGTGTGGGGATGGGGCTTTGGTGGGTAAAATGCTTTCTATACAAGCATGAGGAACTGGGTTCAAATCTCCAGGACTTATGTAAAGCTATGCACGATAGCACACATCTATAATCTTAATCATCCTCTGGCAAGATGGGAGATGGAAAGAGAAGAATCCCTGGAAATTCCATGTAGGATTGGCCTTCAGTATGTAGCATTAAATAGTAAAAGAGATTCAAAATAGCAGGGGTTATGCAAGGCACAAAACTCAAGGTTTTCCTCTGACAGCCATTTGCAAATGCTGACTAACATACATAAGCACACTCACAACATTACATATACACAGGGGGCACATATATGTAGCTGAGGATTACCCTGAACTCAGAACCTCCTACCTCTGCCTCCCAAAGCCAACTGGCAAAAATGCATCATCTTTTGTAACTTAATACAAACAAAACAAACAAATAAAAGACCACTTGACAAACTAGCAGTATAAGGAAATTGCCTCAAAACTGAAGTCCATTTATAAGAGAAAAAGCAAAACAAGACACTTGCTTCTACAACTTCTACTCAATATATACTACAGGTTCTATCCTGATAAAGTAGCACAGGAAAAGAAATAAAGGTGTTCAGACCCAAAAGGAAGAAGTACAAATATCACTATTCATAGAAGATATGACATTGTATAACAAAAATTGTAAGAAATCCACTAAGAAATTATTAGGACTCAAAAACAAACTGTGAAAAGTTGAAAGATACAAAATAAATATTAAAAGCTAATTATATTTCTATGCACCAGCAAGGACTATTCCAAAGCCAAATTAAAAAGACAATTCTGTTGGGTGTGGGGGTGCCCAGAGGTGGGAACAGAAAGACCAGTGTTCAAGGTCATTCTCAACTAATGTGAGTTTGAGGTCAGCTTGAGCTATGTGAATTCTCAACTAATGTGAGTTTGAGGTCAGCTTGAGCTATGTGAGACCATGTCTTAAAAAAAAAAAAAAAAGAAAGAAAGAAAGAAAGAAAAGGAAATAGAGAAAAAAGAACAACTGAAATTCAAAAAGGTGTGTGTGGAGAGAGAGAGAGAGAGAGAGAGAGAGAGAGAGAGAGGGAGGGAGGGAGGGAGGGAGGGAGGGAGGGAGGGAGAGAGGGAGAGTCAGAGTCAGCAGTTAAGAGCACTTCCTGCTCTTGCAGAGGACCTGGGTTTGGTTCCCATCATCCAAATCAGGATTGCAACATTCTTTTCTGGGCTCTACAAACACCAATATGCATGTAGGACACATACAGACAAGCAGGCGAGCACACACACACACACACACACACACACACACACACACACACACACACACACGATTTTTTAGTTAGGGTCTCATTGTAGCAGTCACTGATCTGAAACTCACAGGTCTAACTGCCTCTGCCTTCTAAACATGAGAATAAAGGTGTACGTCACCATGACTGGCACAAATAATTTAAAAAGCATTACATACATAATAGCATCTAGAAGTGTATCCCAGCACTTAAAGGAAGAGGCAGGAGGCTCAGGAGTTCAGAGCTACATAATTTAAGGAAAGACTAGGCTGTATGAGACCTTACTTTGAACAAGAAATGTATAAAAAACTTGGGGCAAAAAAAATTGAACCAAAGTGGTATAAGACACATATGCTAAAAAACTATAAAAGCAAGATAGAATGAAATTAAAGATGTATGAATGTGGAAAGATAACCATGTTCACAGATTCAAAGCTTGTTAGTAAGAGAACACCATTCCTCAAAGTAATCTGTAAATTAAGCACAGTCCCTGCAAAGATCTTAACTGGCTGTTTTTAAGAAATGGGGACAGACATGGTGACATACACCTGTAATCCCAAAAGTCAGGAAGCAGAGGTAGAAGGATTTGTTGCATGTTCAAGGCTAGCCTGCTCTACATACAAAGTTCCAGGCCATTCAGGACTTTACAATGAAAGCCTGCCTGAAAAAAAAAATGGATGGATGGATAGATAGATGGATGGATAAATGAATAAATAAATAGAAGAGAAAAGGAAATACAGGCAGATGATATAAAACTTGTCCACACATTCAAGGATCTAGAGTATTCCAAAATGGTTTTGAAACTAAAAAACAAATTGGAGGCCTCACACTTTCTGACTTTATGTTAATCAGCTAAAGGAAAGAAAAGTAGTCATTTCAAGAACTGGTAATTAGAAAACTGCATTCCACATCTAGAAGAATTAACTTGGAACTAGTAAAAGGGCCCCGTGGGTAAAGTCATTTGCTGCCAAGCCTGAGTTCAATCCTGAAAACCCACATAGTAGGAGGAAAGAACCTCTATTTGTGATAACCTTCTTAGAGGAAAACTATTCGTGGCCTTTGGGCCTTTGATTGTGCAAATGTTTCTCAGATGACAACTAAAGTCAATGTAAAAAAAAAAAGAGAGAGAGAGACAGAGAGAGAGTTGGGGAGATTGCACAGTGGGTGAAATTGCTTGCATTACAACCCGAATTGGCCGTCTAGAACCCAATGACTCAGTAGTTAAGTGAACTGGCTGCTCTTACAGAGGACCTGGATTCAATACCCTATACCCACATGATGGCTCCCAACCATCTGGGACTCCAGTTCCAGGGGATCTAACACTTTCTTCTATAGTCAGTGAACACCAGGCATGCCAGTGATGCACACACATACATGCAGGCAAACCACCTATACACATACAACACATTTTTAATTGAAAAGAAACAAAAACAAAGCCAGATGTCTTGGTGAACATCTGTAATCTCAGTACTCATACAGTGGGATGAGAAGCAAAGATGAGAACACTACTGGCAGGCTCTCAGATAAGCTAGCCTGCAGGGTACAACACCATAGCAGAAATGAGACAGACCCTGCCTT